TATTCAGCCATTCCCATCCCTCATCAGGGAGGGCCCAGCTTGACAAAGATTTTGATGTGGATGAGAGGGGGAGCATCTTTTTTAGATATCCCCGCAATTAGAGCTATTAGATGAGAAGAGACTTTGCGCCATGGAACATGTCCAAGTCTACCAGAAAATTCCAGTGCATTCCAAAATCAGGTAATATAGAGAAAGTTCAACATAGGGGAGAATGTCTTGAAAAAGATTCTTTCCGGACGTGAGCCTCATCCAAGATGGAAACTCCATTTTGTGCTTGCTCTCTTCTATCATGCGCATCATGGCTGGGTGAGTTGGCCCATTACGAATTCTTCCAATCTGGTCATGCACTTTTTTAAGATGCGGAACCTGAGAGCTTTCCTCTTCAAAATAGGGGTAAATTTTTCGTAGGGGGTAAGGAAGGTGCCGAGATCGTAATAGAAAGGAGTTGATAGTCCCGTCTGCTAGGCTTTTCCGAACTTCCCTTCTTCTGCCCGTTAAATCCTTTTCTTCTGCTTTTTCCCAACAATATATCCCCATTCTTTAAAAAAAAGAAAGCATATATTAGTTCCAAAGAATCATCCGAACATTCTGAGATACGGTTGTCAAATGGGAGAAGAGGAACGAGAGGCGTCCCTAAGCTTTCCGGCTTACTAGTAAGTGACGAGGGGTTTTAATTTCATTCTCAGAACCTCCTTCGAATTACAGAACTGGAGGGGGTCTCACAGGCATCTCTCTTCGAGCGGCGGTGCAAGCTCGGATGGTGTTAGCGCTGGCAGAAGGTCTGAAGATTCATTTCCAAAAATAGGAATGTCAGAGCAGTTAGTCCGCATGTCCCTAACTACCTTGTTCCTGATTGGATTGCTTTCTTAGTGTGGCATCTTTTTGTTCGCTGTCCACTAGTGAGATTATCATATATAAATGTAGATAGAGAAAGAGGCTAAGCCTACGTAACGCTATGGGAACAACTTTTTTTGTCCGCTTTCAGCTATGTTATATATATGCGCTACCTTGTGAAAGAAAACATCATATGTAAGTAAGTAGCATCTAGAATCGAATCCAGAGCAGCTAAGAAAAAAATTGAGTAGCTTGCGGGCCGGTCGTCAGTTCAGACTAGCTGGTCAGTGGGGGTCAGAGAGTGTTCCGTTAGTGTTCTCACAGTATCAGTGCGACCTTGCTTGGTCAACAATTTGGAGAGTTTGCGAAACGAAGACTTTCGAGAACAAATATTAAACCGAGAAGAAAAAAGGGGAAAAAGTAAAGAAAGTAACAATAAGGCGCATATGGCACGAAAAGGAAATCCGATTTCGGTAAGACTCAATCTGAATCGTAGTTTAGATTCAAGTCGGTTCAGTGAGGGCGACCGCGAAAGTCACCGAATGGGTCAGTCTTTTCCTTCCTTCAGTTTGTCCTATATATGTTGAATAAAAAAGTTTGGGATGGGAGGATGTAGCAGATGTCCGGGACGGAAACGACTTCTTCTAATGCTAGAAGACCACTGGAAGAGACCCGGGACCAGAGCATGTCGTGAAAGAAGCACACTGGGTGGGCGTGCTTCGACCGTGTCTCCGGGGTACAGTTGAATGTAGATATCATGAACGCGAGGTGCAGGATACCAGGCCGAGAAACCCGGCACCCCCTATGTGCCGATCGCTAGCGCATCCAGGGCCCCGGCACCCTGCGGAGCTGGATAAGCCTAGCCTGATCTGAGAAGTGCTAATTCGGTTCGGATAGACTTCATTCAAGAATGCCGCCGCCCCTAGAATCAATAAGAAAACTAGTGCTAAGTTTCAGATCAGTAAATAAATCGAAACGAAAGAAGAAAGATACCTTTCTCGCTCGGTGCCTAAAACGCACTATGCTCCGCTTCAACAAATGAGAGTTTTCGGTGGAACCGGTGAACCATGCGAGCTGGTTAGATGCGTGGGACAGAGGGCTCATAGTACCTGCTAGCGCAGCTATGCAGTGGAAGGGAAGGAGCCTAAATCGACCCCCTTATTTTGATTATTTTAAAAATAAATAATCAAAAAGTATAAAGAGATTAGACTCTCGGATGAGAATAAGCAGCCACCGACCGTTTCGACGCGCCCCTGACCTATTTTTTTTATTAAGACCGAAAACCTATCTAAAATGGAGCCTAGTTTAGGCTGTCAAACAAATGATAAAATAAAAAATATTTAATATAACCACTAGTAGGGATATGGATGGAGTCTCGCTCAGTAAAGAGAGTTGTAGATTCCTAGAAAAGGAGAGGAGCCTCGACTTTCTATGATGTTCTTAGTCAAGAAGCGCTAACGCTGCAATCTTTCTAAAGCAAGAAGCGAGAAAGTTTACTTTGAGAAAGAAGGTGCTTGTTGCCGCTTTCTTATTTTTTTATAGTAAGTAAGTAAACTTGTTTTGTTTTAGTTTATAAGGCGAAAGGTTGCTATTTTTATAATTATTATAGCGTTAGCACTTTAGTTTTCAATAAGTTTAGGCTTGACTAAGAGCATAGAAATGTTGAATCAGGGTGCGCAGGGAACCCTATACAAAGGGCCTTTCCCTTCAAATGACAACTGCCTCTTCCTGCTGCGAAGGCCTTGCACGAAACCAACCCCCACCCCCGATCCAGTACCAGTTGTTTCGCTGGTAGGTCCACTTAGGTCAGGGGGGCATTGTCCCTCAGTTCTTACCAAACTCCGGTGTGTAATCGACATGTTGCTAACTTCAACTCGATTGAATAAGAATCATTGATTCCCTTTGCTGTCCATTTATTATTCATTCAGGGCGCTCGGTCGGTGCTCCTTTTTTAAACCAGAACAACTCTGAACGTTAGAAAAGAAAAGATAAGGGAAGACCACCTGAGCGAACCGACCGAGGGGACTTGACTTATTCGAACCGAACGATAGCGGCTTAAAGCTAAGCCTATCACGAGCAGCGTCGCTGCTTGATCGGCGGGGAGAAGCATCTCAAAGTATGGGGCAAAGGATCAAGCACTTTGACTTTGTCTCCCGGGATTCACCACAGGTTGGGTTTGAGAGTCGTGTGATGGGTGACTATCCAGCACGGTTCGGAGAGCACTTTTTGTCAGCGTTGGTGAATGGAAGCCCCTCTATCAAGAAAGAAGCGGCTATTCCCACGGCGGAGTCACCATTGACTCTATTTATTATTATGGTAAATTAGTTTATCAAGATGTCAATCTGAGATCTTATTTCAGTTCGATACGTCCACCTGCGAGACTAACCTTTGGCTTTCGTCTCGGTAGGTGTATTCTTATACATTTTCCCAAAAGAACATTCATTCATTTCTTTCTTCCCCGTCGACCACGACGACTGAAACGACGCGATAAATCCATACCCGGAAAGGAGAAGGGTCGGTGGTGGGCATTTGGGAAAGTCGGGCCGATCGGGTGTCTTCATTCCAGCAACAAGAAAGAAGAAGAACGAAACGAAGTGAGAGGCCGGAGGGCAGGGAAAAGAGTCGAGTCGATCAGGCTCGACGACTGGGAGAAGCAAAACGAAATTAGGATTTGGCCGAAAAAGAAGCAACGCTATGGATACCATGACCGATCACCATCGATAAAGAATAATCTTTCTAAATCACTTCGGGTCAGTGGGGCCTTCAAGCATCCGAAATACGCCGGGGCTGTAAATGACATAGCGTTCCTGATAGAAAATTACGACTCCTTCAAAAAAACAAAGTTTTTAAAGTTATTTTTCCCCAAGAAGTCCCGCTCCAACGGCCCGACGAGTCATCTATTTAAAAGGACCCTCCCTGCAGTGCGCCCCTCCTTGAATTATTCGGTCATGCAATACTTTTTTTTTGTAGAAAGAACCAAATGCATTTCGACCCCGTCGTAGTTCTCAATCATTTCGTGGCACCGGGCGTGGCTGAACCATCTACGATGGGACGAGGGAATGCGCAGGGAAGAAGCTTAGATAAGAGAATACGTTCTCGCATCGCTTTTTTTGTAGAAAGCTCGACCAGCGAGAAAAAGTGTTTGGCCGAAGCCAAAAAGAGGTTGACCCACTTCATTCGCTTGGCGAATGATCTTCGCTTTGCGGGAACAACAAAAACCACCATCTTGCTCTTTCCTTTCTTCGGTGCTACCTTTTTCTTTCCAAGGGATAGAGTTGGGATTTATAATAACCTTTTTTTAGGATGCCCGGGAACCACTCCTAGGTCAATTAAGGATCAAATGTTGGAACCTCATGGGTAAGGATAAGGTAATGGAATTGATAAATAAATTCATAGACCTAGGTAGGACAGGAGAGTGGATAAAGGGAATAGAGATGATGATAGAGATCATACTGAGAAACAGAAAAATTCTGTACGGGTACAACTCTTATTTGAACGAAGTGAAAAAAATGCGATCTTTGTTGTCTAATAGAACAATCACTAATACCTTAATTGAGTCAGTCAAGATCAAATCTGTTTATCAAAGTGCTTCTCCAATTGCTCAAGACATCTCTTTTCAACTGAGAAAGAAAACAAGATCATTTCGTTCCATTTTTAGTAGAATAGTTAAGGATATTCCATTAGTAATGAAAAAAGGGGTTGAGAGGATCCGTATATGTTGTTCAGGTCGATCAGAAGGCGCATAAATAGCTAGAACTGAATGCGGAAAGTATGGAAAAACATCTCATAATGTATTTAACCAGAAAATCGATTATGCTTCTGCGGAAGTATCTACTCGTTACGGAATCTCAGGTGTCAAAGTGTGGATTTCATATAGTAAAAAAAATAGGGACGTGCTATATCCAAAACGTACGAAATTTAATAAATATCGTAAAGGCAGATGTAGTAGGGGTTACAAACCAGACGGAACAAAACTAGGTTTTGGAAGATATGGCACTCAAAGTTGTAGAGCTAGTCGTCTTTCATATCGAGCCATTGAAGCAGCGCGTCGGGCTATAATTGGGCACTTCCATCGTGCTATGAGCGGACAATTCTGAAAAAATGGTAAGATATGGGTAAGAGTTTTCGCAGATATCCCTATTACCGAGAAACCTACAGAAGTAAGAATGGGAAGAGGAAAAGGAAATCTTACGGGTTGGATTGCTCGTGTGTCCGCGGGACAAGTCCTATTTGAGATAGATGGTGTGAGTTTGTCAAATGCTCGACAAGCCGCTACATTAGCGGCGCATAAACCATGTTCGTCAACCAAGTTTCTTCAGTGGTCGTAACGTAATTGGTTTGTGGGGAAAAACCAGGCCGGGACTCAAAATAATTAGGCGAAGGGTTTGTTCCTGAACGAGGGAAGTGGAAAGACACTAAGGGAGAGGGATATACTCCTTTTTGAATCGCCAAAATTGTACGACTGTTCCAGGCGTACGACCCTGATACGTTACGGTTTTTTTCGGGTACTCTTTCCTGTGATTGTATTGGATATTCTTCTTTATGATCACAAGGTGGTGCGGTTCTTGGGAAGGTCTTCTCTGATTACGTTCGGACGTGACAGGGAAGCCAGGAGGTCCAGGGACATAGCCGACCGATGCACTCCCCATCCAGCAGAAAGAGAGGGGAACGCAGCCCCCGCCGCCATATGAGTCGGATACTATTATAGTTTTACTCTTGTGGGAAATTCAAGATGTCTTTTTTTGTTTTGGCGATAATAACTTCTGGGAGGGTGAATCCCAGGTTCCACCACAAGAAAGAAGGACAATAGGTAGTTCCCTACGAGAAAGTGCTACCCAAAAGGGACTACTCTACATCGGCCGGGATTAGACACTAGTCCTTCAAGTCTTCAAAGATCGGATTCAATCGATTATTCGCATTCAACTTGAACAATTCTTGTGACAACAGACGGAATTCCTTCGTTCCCTTTCTCAAAGGCGAAGATATCGATTTCGAACAAAAAGGGAATCTCGAGTACAAGCCATGGAGAAAGACTGCCATCTCAGGCATACCATCGACAGAGTCAGGAAAGGACAGGCATAAGGCACGCTAAAAAAATCCGATCTTTCAACTCTATCCCTTCTCCAGCTAACCAAGCTAATTCCCAGCTCCCTATGAGCTCAGAGTCGCTAACGCAAAGAGGAAGAAGAGCTACTTCCATCATTCCAATAGTAACAAGGTAAACCGAACCCAAGTGAAGTTAAGCTGAGTCCTTTTCTTCCCTACTGCTTCGAAGCCGGAGGCAGACACGTGGGGTTCACTAGAAGGGAGAGTGGCGGGAATTCATTTTTGCAATGTAATGGAACTCAAAGCTTGTTTCATAGGCTGTACTCGTACTCACCGACTACACGGACTCTATACCAAGTCATGAGCGATAGCGAAGCCAAGCCGCCAACCAAGCCAATGCGCCATCCCTATCCGTTCCCGATGAAGCTTCCTTTGATTTTAATGAATGAGGGAGGAAGGGAAGGTGCATGCAAGAGAAAAGAAAGCCCCTATTTGGGCATGAGCTCTAGTACATTGACCTCTCGCAGACCTGAAAGTAAAGTTTTTGGCTATTGATAAATCAAATAATAGAGACGAAGAAAGCCGTATAGATTCTAAATAAGGGAGGAACTCGACCTCGGCCAGCCGGCCAGGCCAGGAATGATGACCAATTGCTTGAACCTCGGATGAGGACATGGAGGAAGATGGGTCGGCCAGAGCCGCAGGCAGATGATAAATAATAAGACTAAAACTTTAAAAGATGCTGGGTGAAGGTGAATCACCTTCAAACTGAGGATTCACAATGACTTTGACTCAGACTTCCCTTCCTAAAAGACAAAGGAGTAGCGGGGTTCACTAGCCGACCTTGCCTGAAAGTACTTTTCTCTGACGCTTAAGGGGTAAAGAATAGCTTCGTTGAAACTAATGCTTTTTCCCTTGTTGGCTTTCCACCATTCAAACTTGGTTACTTCCTACGCTATTCGTCGACATTGAACTATTCTCTCGACATTCTTCTTCATTCAGATACTATTAAAATATTTGAAGGAGCTGGTTGGTGATGCTCTTCCCATGGTTTACCACCGATGAGGAGTATTCTGCATGCCATCAACCTAGTACCTGGTGCTAGTTTCCCAAACTTGCCTGCTTATCGAATGCTACCTGCCTTTTAATTTAAGCCCCTTGCGCTAACATCGTTTAGTTCCCGGGCCCCTATCATCTGGGGATTCTATTTTCATACGTAGTCTTTCAACACTTGATTCAATGGTGTCAAGCTCCTTCTGCTTTGATGCTTCGCTTAGCGCTACTACTCCTATGATATTGATTTATTAAGTGCATGGCTGCGGGCAGGAGGTAACAAGAAAAAGAAGGTCTTTTTTCACTAACTAAAATCCCAGATGAACATTTCATGGGATTCTTCCAATACTTACTGAGAACTAGTACACCACCTTCTATTCTTAGCCGCAGAGAGCCCTCGTCACTAATTTATGGTGATTATGTATTGGCTTAGCCACACCGGTCAAGGGCCATTGGGAGACTACTAAGGAGAAAGTCTTTAGCAGAAGACACACAAAGGGATACTGACAAGGCCAAAAACTAAATTCGGATTCGGGTGCTCTTGCCAAGGAAGAATGGAATGATTCTTGCCACTTTTTCTTCCCTTATGCCGATGCTGACTCTGATCGCCTTGAATACTATCCTTTCCTTAGGAATACCAGGAAAGATCAGATCCATGAAGACTATGGGTCAGGGGTCAGAATATTTATTTAAACTCGCCCCAGTCTTTAACCTGGGAATAAAATATTTAAAAAAGATCCTCCCGGAAAAGCTTGAACGTGTCGAGCAGAAGTCTTTCCAAAGCCGAGTATGGTTAAGCTTCTTGTCCCACCTCCTAATGGAAACTCGGTCTTTTTGTCCGACATGCCTAGAGAGCCTCTGACTACACTTCATGCCAGATCCTTGCTTGGGTTATCCTTTATCATTTTTTCTAAGCTAGTTCACCTTATTTTTTTGGAAGACTCGGCTTGTCCATTAGCCTGAGCAAAGGTGTTGAGTGAATCATTTCAACAAAAACTATATATATTAGCAAACTCTTTTACTTGATCACCTGTGAAGACTCTACCTTGATCGGCAACCAAGGAAAAGGAATCTGAAGCTACTTAGCTACTCGTTGAAGGTATTCTTCAATATCCTGATCTCGAAATTGCGTAAGATAAAGAAGCTCTTCGTCGAATTAAAACAAGGGACTTTGAAAAAGGTCTCATCAAAAAGGACGTCAGACAACATGATCCGAGGAAAAAAGGCTCTCATCAATACCGTGGGAACCCAAATTCAAAAGAGAAAGCTCGGTGCAGCTATACACCTGGAAGCTTTGGTAGCTGAAGAAGAGTTGTTCTCGCAGGGAAAATAAAGATGATTTACCAAGGGTATCCCTAAGTAAAGATGACAAAGTCCAAGGTGTCGAAATTACACGGGAAAGCCCACTATCTTGTTCTTACTAACCCAGCAGCCTAAAGGACCTTAGAGTTTGCAAGGTCACCATCAGAGGTGTGAGGGAGCCACAAACAAATGCTGCCCTATTCTTTCACAAGAAAGACTTATATTGAAGATCCAGTCTCTTTTCATTGTAGGAAACCGTCGAAATAGCAAAGACAGAGCTGACGGTTTTTCCTTAATTAGCAACTGCCTAAGAAAATGGCCCCCCATGTTTATTTTGCCTCATATGAAACACAAATTCCAACATTAAAATGCTTTACAAAGTTAGGCCCTAAATACGCGAAAGCAAGGCGGGGCTTTAACTACTTTTAATCTGCCTATCTTTATAAGTTCGAGCTTGAGTTTGACTCCTTTTCTTAAATCTTAGTTTCTCTTTATTTCTACCTTTTTAGGTATTTTCTATCTTCTTTGTCAGAAATTCAAGGAATTAGATTTCTTTCATGCCTGACTTTCAAAGGTTGGGTTCTCTCTGGGCGGTCGAGCCCTATCCTTTGCTCTAAGAGGGTTGGGCTGCTCAGCAGGGCTTGCCTTGACTGTAGACTTTACTTTACGAGCGTTGCTCACATACCAAAACCATATGATGCCTCTCGGCAAGGGGACATCAGACTCTAAGTCTCTGGCATCTCAGTCGGACTCCCCATGCCTCTTCGGAAACGGATTCGGAAGGATCTCCACCACAATCCATCTCGTCCCTGGGAGCGTCACCGCTGCGGAGGTAGAAAGTCACACGCGGGATGATCCTAACTCTAATTTTTTTCCGGAGGAACACTTAGATCGATTGTGATAGGATAACCGACACCGTCTGCAAGAGAACGCCAACCTCCTTAAACAAGCGGAGGCCGGGCTTCGACGGAAAGAGGTTTAATATCATAAAAGCACGCGACGCCCATAGAGATGAGATGAAGCAGCGCGCGTCCAAAAATAAGAACTCTTACAGTCAACTGTAGAGTTCATTCAAAGCAACCGCCACCTATTTGAGGTGTAGCGGCGTGGCGCTGCTAGGTGCTTTTGATCAATAGAACAGGAAGAGGAGGAAAAAACTGAACGACGTTTGGGCTTGATCTTGTTGTACGTCGGAAGCCGGGGTCTGCCCGGTCCAGCCCCAACCTTACGTCTATCTCTATATACGAATATAGAAACGACCTTCCAAAGCCAGGAGTGAGGTGGAAGAAGACTTGGGAACGGGGGTTAGCTTCTCTCCCTCTCCTTATGGTCAAGTATTTCTCTAAACCTCTCGCTTACTTGTACTACCTATCTTCGCATTCGACGATCGAGAAAAGACAGTCTTTCTCCTTCGGACCGGTTGTTATGATAGCTGCCTTCGCTTTCACTTTTTATCCATAAAAGAGGAAGAAGTCTCATTGGTAAGGGGACTATGAACTAAACTATACGTGTAATCGAAGGCTGAGCCCTTGGCACTCTACTTTTGGAGACTGTGACCCTGCTGATGCTTCTTTTTTATCTTATTTTTGCTTGCGGACCACACCACGGATCCTTGGGTGGAATAGGCACCTTGACCATCCTTGACTTCTCTGGTAAGTTAGGCATCTTCCCATACATAGCCAAGTACGAATTTGGTGGGGGAAGAATAGGTAGGCAGAGATCCGTGAATGCGCAAGAAAAAAGAAAGCATTCACCGACTTACGGAATCTCAAATCGATTTCTTTGTGTTAAGCATATAGCATTCGTTTGTTTAGAATGTGCTTTGAAAAGCTTATGAGATGGATGATTTCTGATTATTATTTCTTACTAAGAAAATCAGTCAAGTTCAAGTGTGTCATCTTTCTATACGAAAAATAGAAAGAGATAG